CATTACGGCGCTCTAGCATTTCAAGGAATTAATTCCTGCCAGGTACCCATTTACATCACCTGGGTTGAGCGTGGCAAATGTAGATCAATGTCTTGCCGAAGGACATTAGTGCCGCGGCGGGACTCAAACCGCAGACCTTGTGATCGCGAGTCCGGTGACATATCCACTCGAACATGACACCTCTACATAGTCTCTCATGCCTGTCGTACAGTGATGCTGACATATCAGCTAACGTTGTACATGTTCTTCTGGGTAGAGAGTGGCAGATGCAGATGTTTTGGCGAAGGTTGTTAGTTATTGACTAAATTTGAACCATCGATCTCTTGACTGAATTTTAAGAGAATGAACCACTATACCATGCAAAAAGTATGGCTCACTGTAACTTTTTATGTTTTTATAGTTTTGTTTAATTGCAACTTTTCATGCAAGAGGCATCCTGTAAATATACAACATTATATCGTGATGAATGCACGTTTGTACATTTTTTAAAGAATGTTTCACACTTCTGTTAATGTTAACCCTTATTATTACAAAATTATCAGCAACATTTTTATGAAAGAAAATTCATAAATGAAGTAATACAGTTAATAACTCTGCATCAGTCAAATGTGCTGGACTGAAAAAAAATAATTCTAAAGATTTGACTGAGGAAGTGTAAATGACACGTTTTCCATAGCCCCCCCCCCCCCCCCAAAAAAAAAAAATTTGGCTTTAGGGAAAATTAACTTGTGTGACTTTGATTTATGCAGAGTTAACTGTACAGTGTTGCAATTTGATAAGTATCCAGCATAACATTTTGGCAAACCTGGAGCACCTGCAAGTTTGCGAAAGTTTTGATGAGTTCAAAATGTCTGGTATGACTTGACAGTATGGTGTGAAATCCTGCTGGAGTATTTTTACGAATATTTATATTATATTGACCGGGCTTGAGGGGTATATCAGTAATATTGACCAAGCTAAAATCATATTGCCCCGAGCCGAAGACGAGGGCAATATGGTCATATGGTCTGAGCGCGGTCAATATTCCTGATGTACCCCAAAAGAAGCCCTGTCAATATAATTATTATTACCTAAACAAGCCTGCATTTTTTTTACAAATTATTGATATACAACTTTGGTATCAAGCATGATTTTTACTCCCGTCTGCATGCCGGTCCATCTGATTTCAGGTTATTCAGGCAGGTATGTAATTGTGACGTAACAATGATTGTTTCCGCGCGTACACTTTAACGCCTACACAATACAAGCGCACTGACAAGAAAGAATGAAATATGGCTCAATATTGCCCTCTGATTTAGTACAGTGGTCTACAAGGGGAACCTCGAAGAGGGCGATATGGCAAATATTCACCGCTCCGGTTTGATATTCGGAGCAGCATGCAAAATACGACTTTTTATTTAGGAGCTGAAATGCCTTGTATAGGTAATAATAGTTTGTATTACTCTGATTTTTTTATCACATTTGAATATGGAATCACTAAGCTGTATCCCTTCTCAGGTCATGTAAAAATTCAATATTTCAAGGAGGTTCTGTGGATTTTGAGTAAGTATATTTATGAATATTCAAAACAGAAAAATCTTTTGAAGGCGATTTTTGTTTTCATTCAATGTGCATTCCCAAAGGGTATTATATCATGAGTTATCTCAGAGGTTTTGAATTCAACGGGTTAAAGTCAATTAGGCTGAAGTACTTAAGGTTATTAAGCTATGCATTCCATCTTCATTATCTATTGATTCGGATGATATCCCATCAACCAAAAGCAATGAAGTAATTTAAAGGATATCTAAAAACCATTGTATTAAATTGTTTATTTATATATTATTCATGTATATATTATATTTATATGTACATTGTATATATACATTGTATATAGGCCTATGTAGAAAAAGATAAAAGTGCAATATTATCATGTCTTGTGAGAACATGTTTTGAATATTTTTTGTAGGCAAGACCTTTACAAGTTATAAGTTAATTAGTTTATCAAGATCACAATGAATTATGGAAAAAATATAATTCAATTATCCATTTACTGATATGATTTAGCAAGTTCCATAGGTAAATTATGTAAATTCCAAAATCACAGTTTTGTTTGAACAAAGTTTGTATATGAAACATCTTGACACTAAGAAAAATATTTGTCATTATGACTATTGTTCTCACCCTAGAAAAGATTCATGTTACTTAAATTTGTTATAACAATTCTTGCCTAAACGTGGACATGATTTGTTGTGTAAAATAATGATTATGCGAACCGAGATTCATTCAGATAGCTCGAAAGCAGAGAGTATTCCATGGAAATGCTGCATATTTGTTTACTAAATTTGTATTTTTTATAAACATCTATTACATCCATTGGTGTAATGAAAGTTACAGCACAAGGGTCCCCCTTTTTTTTTGGGGGGGGGGGGGGGGTGCAGGTTTGAAGACTTACCAAGCCAGTGAAAAACATTTTTTGATAGGGGTCAAATCATACTCATGACTTAATATCAACATGGTTTGATTTTTTTTAATTGATTTGATTTATTTCTGCATTTTTTCCAAATAAAATATAACTGAATAACAAAGAACATATAAATGTAAGGTATAATACAACATAAACAAACAATATTTTTTTTCATGTCAAAATGTTTTTTTTTTACATAATATATGTATATATAATAACGAAACTTATTATTTCCATAACATATCATCATAAATTTAAAGTATTATCCAAACTATTCTGTTGGAAAAGTGCAGGATACCGTAATCATAAGCAAAGTTGTCAAGGATGGCGGCCTAAAACAAAAACAAAAACCAAAAATCTTAAGGTAAAACTTAAAATGAAAAAAAAAATGATGGTGATACCATGTACATCCCCCACATAAAACGGCCCCCTCCCCGCACCCCCCCCCCTAAAAAAAGAAAAAAGAAAAGGAGAAGACAAACAAAGAACAAAAAATACCCAAGAACAACAAAATCACAGAAAAAAAACAACAGGATACTGCCAGGCAATCAGGTACATGTAGTCTACAGTTTTCAGTTATTGGTGTTATTCATTTCCGTATTCCAGAAACTAGTGAATTTGACTAATGTCTTGCTACATGTAGGTGAAACATTGTTATGTACACAATTGAATGGTTACTGTATATTATGTTTAGGAATTAGGATATTGAAAACAAGTTTCAAACATCATTATTTGCTTGATCATATAGTACTATATTAATATCTGTATAAACATGTGTAATATTTAATTTATATCAGTATTATAATTTGATGAATTGTGTTAAAAAGGCTAGCTTCAGTTTATAGTATTCAATTTGTTGCTCGTGTTTTCTTAAGTGCAAAATATTATCCTAATAACTTTATAAGGTAAACTTATTGTAGGAAAAAGGACAATCTATCGTGTACATTTATCAGACATATATAAGAAAAATGATTTATGTAAATGATTATTTACAGTTGTTTGTGTACCAATTTGAAATTGTGTACTAGTTGATTGCAGTACTTATTTTATAGACAATTTACACAAGTTAAATGTACATGTACAAGGTATTAAATTTGTAATGCACTCGTGGTTTTTTTAGAACAAATAAAAAGACAATCTGCCGTGAAAAAAAGTAAAAATACTGTTGGCATCAGCTATCATTTATTTGATTGTACTTAATGCGCCATCTAGTGCAACAGTCATGACAATTTCTTTTGCATTGTGCAACTATCGTGAATACACTACACTTCATGTACAGTTAACAACTCAATTATTCATACCCCTTGTGAATTGGATGTTTTGTGTGCTTTTCGTAACTTAAGAATGAAAGGTGGACTAGTTGACTTATAGCCTTTGTTGAATACCTTTAGATATGAGCTGTAATATGTCACATTCTCATGAATGAGACAAATAACATTTTCCTCATACTTAAACAAAAATTACAAAACTTGGTAAGGGTACAAATAATTAAGTTGCTAACTGTATATCCAGACGCTGTGTGCCCTGACAGGGAACAAAGTTTACGAGTAATACCTCATAAATCTTATGAGATTTATGTAATTATTATAAAGGACTACTCTTCAAATTACAGTAGTAATATAAGTGCTAATTGATGAATATCTGTTCGTTCAATATGAAGGCAAAAGACCTACATCATAAAGTATGTTCATGCACAACATTATTAGAATAGTCCAGAGTTTGGTGTTATCCCAGGGGGGGGGGGGGAGGGGGTGGGGTGGGTTAGCGGTCATGGCCCTCTGTCTCCCACACTTCTGCCCCTGCTGTGTGTAAAATTGTAGTCATTAAAATAATTAGTCTCTGATGATTGCCTTGTTTGAGTTGAATCCATCTTATCTTATCTTTCATGACAGTTGGACCCTATTATATGCATCAGTCACACAAACGATAGACACAACGATTCACACCGACAACAGACTGATCAAGAATTGCATTAATTAAAAATAATAGTGATAACGTTGTATCATGACAATTTGCAAGTGGATAACACTCCTAGCTTTTTTTAGGAAATTCCTCTTTGGTTATAAAACAAGATGATAATCCTGATGATAAATCACTTCTTTATTATAGATCATGCACAAAAAACCAGGCCCGTCAACACAGTGGGTTAGGCGGCAGGTTATAATCAATAATATATACGATAGTACAGTACAATAACAATAACAATACAAATTACATTGAAATGATATATGTGTTAACAAGGAGCACCGGGATATATATGAAGTTATGTATGTTCATTTTTTTATCTCCCACTTTTACTCAAACCTATTTCTCTAATTTGTCTATGCTAATTATCATTTTTTTTTCACCGAGCGTTTTATCGTATTATAGGATGATAACGCGGATCCTAATCAAATTATTGGTTGAGAGCGTACACGTGGCTAGGCATTTATTTAGCCTAACACGTGACCAGTCATTGGTACATCAACTTATAAAACAAATGATACACATCATTTTGTTCGGGCATTAGTAAAATTACCCATAATATGGCGACTACTGCTTTGTTGGGCAAGCACAAAACAAAAGAATATACGCCATGTTGTGACCCAGTGAAACCAAGTTGGCCAAATTCTGTATGCATGGCTCTGTCATTGCTAAGTGTCCCTTTATAAAGGGACACTATCATACAGCCGTCAATGAAGATCGAAAATGACTGCTACTACTAAATTATTACCCCAGCGTTAGCCGAGCTACTTTGACAAGGCGCTCTGGCATTCTAAGAACGTCCTTCTACCAGGAATGGCCATTTACACCACCTGGGTGGAGAGTGGCAAATTTAGATTTCCTGTCTTGCCAAAGGGTGGCGCAGAGGAACTCAAAACCGCGAATCATGTGATTTAAAGACACATGTAGAAGTCAGCTCTCATGTGGAATTCGACACCTTTCGGGGTTTACCAAATAACAGGAGTTGTCAATCACCAGGATTAGCATTTAGTTTTATGACCAACAGGCTTAATGTAATGCTCTGCTTTTTCCCATATGGGAAAGTAATTATGTGACATTTGCATCATCCGAAGACTCTCCAAGAGACTTGGGGTATTTCTTGATTGGCCTACGTGTTTGCTGTGCGCAGACATGTTCACCCATTAATGGTATTTCTACCAAGTCTGGTGCCAGGGAATTATGACCTTCTGCACATGGAAACTGACGAGTGACTCTATTTAAGATCAGGTGATGTATCCGCTAAACCACGACACCTCTGGATTACAATACATCAGTTGTATAGATCCAGTTAGGATATATAAAATGAGGTTCATGTAAGTATGAGGCCTGTTTATCCATCGAGTAGGCCTACTTTAACATTGTGTATAAGGAAGTCGTAGACGAGCATGTCCCCCGGATTGACATAATGGATGCTTATGAGTGATTCTGAACAACAGTCTTGCCCCTGGAGGAAATTTAAAAGATAACAAAGAATTCATTTTATGATGATTATCATCATCTTCATCATCATCATCATTTTCATCATTGTTATTGTCATTATTATATTATCATTCAAATCGTTATTTTTACTATCATTACTATTATTTTATTAGTAGTAGTATCATCATCATCATCATTATTATCATTTGTATTGTTATCATTATTACCATCATTAATATCGACGTTACTAAGAATATAATTATTTATCATTTTCATAAGCTTTATCTTTACGGTTATCACTATTGTTGTTATTATTATTATTATTATTATTATTATTATTATCATTATTGTCTAGTAATAATGGTAATATCAAAAACAGTAGTAGAAGTAGTAGTAGTAGTAGTAGTAGTAGTAGCAGTAGTAGTAGTAGTAGTAGCAGTTATAGTAGCCCTGGTCCGTGTAGTAACAATATGGCAACAAACATGTACATGTAACATACATACCCTTGTGATGTTGTACTTGGAATATTCATGAAGCCATGTGAGAGGACTCATACCGTCATCCAAAAAATAATGCAGATATATTGGAAGAAAGCGAAATCGTCCATACCGATCGCGATGGTCTTTCGAACGAACACCGAGGCTTTCCATACACATTCCTAGACACAAATCCTCCGGCCAGTCCAGGTGGCTGTCTGGACATTGCCCGGTCCGGTCCTGGAGTCCTACTTCCACAAACCTTCTGAGTGCTTCCCTGCTCATCGCATACCCAGCTCCGCCGCTCATGTAATCCATCTGCCTTGATTCAACCTTAAAATACGGTAGTGTCTTATTAAAACTGAATCCAAAAAAGACCGGTTCCGAGGGATCCTGCCGTGATAAAAACGCCATCAAATTCTCCACGACGACGTACGTGTCATCATCGGCTTTGAAAAACCAATCAGCATCGTTGAAATGTTGCGTGTAAATGTACTCTAAGGACATCCTAGTTTTGTTCCACAAGGCATTTCGACCTTCGGCCACTTCTAGACCGATGACGTTGCCGGGAAAACTGGTACTCTTTTGAGAGCTCATGAAAAGCGTCTGAGAACACTTTTTTGCCCAAGTTCTGGCAACCATCGTCGCTTTTGTTTTCAATGTTTTGGGGGAGGTCAAGACCCAGCACAGCAGGCGGACCTTACGCAGGCGTGTCCGTTGTGTAACATCTGGAGGATGATAATTAACCAAAGTTAACACATTAAAGATACTTTGTTCCTTTTGCAGCCAACATCAATTTTTGTAGAATTTTGCAAGAATGATATATATGTCATTTAATTCCTTTCTGTGAAATTTAAACGTTAGCAGTGTCCTAATATTTAAATTAATATGCACGGAAACCCGATTACTTGCTAGACTTCACTGTCAGACACTTTTGAGTGACTGACTGGCTTTTTCTTCTTTGGGAATAACATACATAAAATGATCTGTAATCTTTGCGCAGCATAAAACGTACGACCATTCGGTACAATGTTCTGAAAACCAGACTATTACTTACTGGCTCTATAGCTGTTAAGTCGATTCGACAACTAATAATCGTTATTTTCCCACTTAAAGACATTTTCAAGCCCCCTATTTTATAGGGAAGTTCTAAATTAGTATTATCTTTCAAATGCCGTGGAAAAAAAGCCTAATGGAATACCTCGTCATCACGAGGTCCCCAGGAAAGAAACATCTGTACATTTGAATGTTAGTGAACAGGTCGTTTAAGAGGACGAAGATGTGATCTGAAACTTTTGATGAACCTATTTACTTACCTGACAACTTCTTTTCAGCAATACCGTTCGACTCAGAATCCGTCACGGTCGTTCTCGGAGCTGCTTTTAAGGCGTGTAAAGATAAAGGGACGGCATTTTTTTGAATTACTGCTTGGTTCCTGGTGGTCAAAGTCGAATGGGGATGTCTCTGGAAGGCGAAGATTTGTTGGTTCATCATAGTCAAGGTAAACAACATAAATATAGCACCGGATATGAAAGCCAAAAAGACTCTGAGCTGTGAAAAACCCATGTCTCTTGTAATTCCCTCCGATCCACTTTGAGGAGTCACTAATCTTCTACTTGCGAATCCGTATGATAATGTTCATCAACACCTTTTCTTTTGCTCAAACGCGCTTGAAAACAACCAATACATAGTCACATAACATTTAATGTAGAAACACGAAAATCAAAACGGCCTAATACGTGATTTTATCACACCCAGAAGAAATGGTGGTCGGCTATCTGATCTGATCCCAAAACAGAAATTTGAATCCCTGCCAAATTGTTTAGTCGTTTTCAAGTATCGACACGGCATGAAGCATTTAAAATCATCAATCGGAAGAGGACAAACACTTGTAGATCACGAATCACAGCTTCTACGTAGTAGATGTACGTGCATGTATACCGCCTATAATACCATCGAACAAGGAAGGCCTCTTGCCCAACGATCGATACCAATATAATGTTCAAATCATTCATCTCTTCTACGTCACCAAAGACATATATGCGATCGTATATCTCGTACCGTTTAGTAACGATTGTGTATCAATGACGATTCGCAAGAGTTCATTTACAGATGCAAAGTTTGCTCCCGAAGCCCAACTGAAAACATACGATGTCAAAAGATGGCATAATTAGGGTGATGCGCTTCACATTTCGTACCTTATAAAACAGAGCCCAGTGAACACGCTCAGGATCACTGTTGCTCACAGCTGTCATCCACACGTTAAAAACTGAAGCATCTTCTTTGCGGCGTTTAATACAGCACCATATCTAAACAAGAATTGTTAACAACTATTAGTAGAGTGAACAAGAATAATATGTTCACAAATTTAGTTTAAACTGAAGCTCAGTCGAAATCGTTAACAGCTGAAATAATACTGACTGTTGACTTACGGCGGCAACAGGTGGTGATGTACATAAATACTGTATTATTGCAACGTAAAAGCGTGTGGGGTCATCATTGCAGACCGACAGCGCGTGATATCAAAGAATATAAGAAATATATCATTAAACAAAAACTGGTCACTTGACAAGTTTCGTTCATTATCCGATGCTGTGCAGTGCATATTCACAAATGCACTCGCAAAATTATATTTTTTTTGGATTATTTGTATACTCGACGTCAGATGTGTAGTACTTAAATGATTGGGTTATTGTTAATCTACCACGGCAACAGGTGGAAGATGTGTTTTATGTTTTTAGCACGTTTCTAGTCCTGAATCCTGACGTAACAAGACCCTAGCTGACGTCAAGAGAAAAGTAGGAGGGGGGGGGGGGGGCGTCACTAGACCTTTTTCAGTGGGGGTGTAAACTGTAAAGGCCACCAATTACCGACAAATATATTAATGCCAATGTCCCAATGTCTACAAATTTAATCCTATCCCCTGCTGGAAAGAACACACTCATTCACACTCATTCACAGTGTGAATCACAGTGTGCTCCACAATGTTAAATCGGGGCGTTTTCACATTGTGGTCGATTCGTTTCACACTGTGGTTCACAGTGTGGATAACCGGAAAAGGAAATTTTCACACTGTGAATGAGTGTGTTCTTTCCAGCAGGGTCAACCCGGAACCAGGAGCTAAATTATTTTTTAGTTATTCCCCCCCCCTCCCGCGCAAAGCGCGGAAGCTTTAACGTTTCATTAAATCATTACAGAAAGAAGACGATTCGTTGTACTATTGTTACTCTTAATCCTTGTCTAGGGTCAGTTCCCCCCCCCCCCCCCCCCCCCCCCCCCCTCCCGCGCGAAGCGCCGAAGCTTCGACGATTCAATAAATTATTAGAGAAAGAAAACGATTCGTTGTACCGTTCTCAACTCTAAATCCTTGTCTGAATTACCCCCCCCCCCCTCTCGCGTGAAGAGCGGAAGCTTTGACGTTTCATTCAATTATCCGAGAAAGGAGACGATTCGTTGCACCGACTCTTAATCCTTGTCTGTATTCAGTCCCCCCCCCCCCTTGTCAGAGCTTAAATACCAGAGCTAAAATGTCAGAAGTTAAAATGCCAGAGGTAAAAATGGGGGGGTGGGGGGGGGGGGGGTAAGAGCACTATTTTTTGTGTGTGTGCACTATTCGTGAGTTAATATTTAGCAGCAAATCATCCAGCCGGTGAATAAGCGGGGGGGGGGGGCAGAAGATGACAATAAATGACATGTGATGGCGCTGCCCATCGACTAAAACAGTTATCAAAGGGATATGACAGGTTAGGAGGCGTCATAACTACTTAGCCAGGGTGTTGTGCTTGATCTTGGCAAAGAGGGCTTCGTGAAATACGTAGCGGACGAGAAGCTTACGCTGATTTTAGTCAAGAAGTTGGACGATTTCGGGAAATGGGCCCCTGATGCGATATACTCCCCTTACCCGTCATAAACAGCTGAATCTCAACAGTCCGCAGACATATCGCAAACATTACATGTTGCTAGACCGGGCAAGCCATTTTGTTGTCCTTCCAAGCAACAATCAATGCCAACAACCCGCACCCAGACAATCGGAACACGGTACGGAAGGTGTTCCAATCATCTTTTTTGTCCTGTCTTTTACCCTCCTCTCTTCCCTTTCTCCATTTTCATGCTTGTTCTCTTTCGTTTCATTCCCCCACTCGATTGGTAGGTGGGCATATGCAGGGGCGACGATTTCTTTTCATGACCGGGGGGGGGGGAGAGACGAAATCCGTTTTTTAAAGTTTTTTTTTATAAGAATGTTTTGCGAGGGAGCGTAGTGAACGAGCGAGAATTTTTTACAATTGTATTGGTCTAAACGCTGCACTCTTGGGCCCTCCAGAGCCTAACAATTTGTTGCAGTCATTATTCAGTATTTGCTATACATTTTTGTTGCGTTTTTTTTTATATTTCCCCGTCTAAAAAAATTGAGGGGGGACGTGTCCTCCCGTCCCCCCCCCCCCCCGGGATCGCCGCCCCTGGGCATATGTCGTTCATGGAACTTGTATCCATATTCGAGAGAAGAATTGAAAGGAAAGCATCGAAACTGTTCAAAGCACCAACCTCCATACAATAATAACTCAGAAATTTCATTATAATTGAATTTAATGTTTATTTCCATTCTAAATACAAATTTGAAAAATAATGATATAAAAGAAAACGAAACAAAAAACAACGTACGTAAACAAAATAGCTACATTAAAACAATATACATAACATGTATAAAATGATAAATAACAAAATTGCGTTGTAGGTTTTGTTAACCAAATATATTGGCTTACATAACTACATATTTGTTAACAGAACTCCAAGAACTAACAAACATGGCAGCATTATGTTACATTTCACATTCTGAATACATACATGTACATGCACAAAGGCGTTTAAAAGAGGTTTCAAGGGCAATTCAACTTTTGTAATAAGTTCATTTGTATGAAAGTATAAAAGTTTAATGGCGGAAATTTGAAGTTAATTGGTCGTATAACTAGAAAGTTATGACTTTTTGAATGAGGAGATCACTTAGTCTATGCGGACCCCAAATTCGCAATTTAAAGGGATCCGGTAACTTTGTCTCAGATTCTGAGAAAAAAATCGTGGATTTAGCTCATGCTGCAATGATAATTATAAACCTTTAGGTCAGTCAGGAACCCCATGACTTTTACAAACCGATCGCCTGTCTGATTATCAAGATATTTATGATAGGAATTACAAATTTTGAAAACCGTTTGCCAAACGGTTTTCATAACACTACAGTCTATTGGGGAAAATGAGTATGGTAAAACCGGTCACTCAAAGATATTTTACTTTTTTCGGGCACTTTTTTTTCACAGACACTGATAACACGGAGGGCCGTGTATCTCAGATTTAACATTGTTAAACGGCCCCTTTAATTAGCAGGTGGATTTTTTTTTTTTTTTGGGGGGGGGGGTCATGCTCAGTGCCTTCTCCCTTGAGATACTACTCAAAATATATCACGAATATGATATTGTTATAGTTCCTGTGAAATTAAAAGGCCATCTTCAGTCATACAATTTTTTGACACAATTATGTGTTGATTTAAATTGG